CAGTCAGGATGTAAATAAATAAATAGGCCTTATCCACATTGCAAATCTCTACCAGGCCTTCTTGTATATCAGAAGCTCTGCTGTGCACTGGGTTGTTTCTTCTCTTACACGCTTGTTCTTTTAACAAATAGCGGGACCATCACTGCTGTTAACACTTACACGGCATAAACTATTGATCCTTGTCACATCCACAGGCTACCCTGACTGAGGAAGACAACGGTGACTTTTCTTATTGTCACTGGCAATTTATGATGTCTTCCTAAGAAGACCGTTCAGACAGACTCTCCCCAGCTGTGGTCGTCTATTTATGGGCAAATGTATAGCCGGCTAGCCCAGGTCATTGGAGAGAGAAAGATGGGGGCGGAGGTGGAGGGAGGGAGAGAGAGACAGAGAGAGAGAGAGAGAAAGAGAGCACTATTGCATTACTGGGGAGCAGCTTGTCTTTGTTGTTTGACATGAACTAGGGTGCTTAAAGCTATAGGTACCAAACACATCTCTGCCCATGAGGGGAATGAACTCCAGGACAAAGTCAACCTGGGAATGGTAGATGGTTACTGCTGTTCTGCAGATAGCTCTTCTCAAACACAGACCCCAGACTGTATCTCTGAGGCCAGGCCCAGTGAAGTCTGCACCTTAACTCTGGCCGTGAGGTGAGTTCTCTGAATGACCTCTTTGTTTTAGTCAGTTTAAATTAAGACTTTTGTAATCTGCATATCAAATCATCCTAATTTACATACATGATCAGAATTGAAAATACCAGTGAGGGTGGACTGAGAAGGGACTAGGCAGTTCAGAGCACCATTCTTGCAGAAGACTTGCATTTCGTTCCCAGTACCCACAAGGTACACATTGATCTATAACCTTGTTTTCGGGGGATCTGACACTGTTTTCTGACATCTATAGTTATGAGTTATACATGCAGCACACATACATACATGCAGTCAAAACACTCATATACACGAAAAACTATTTTTTTTTAAAAAAACCACTGAGAAAATAATAATGTGGGAACCAAGCATCTAACTTTCTCAACAAGACCACTTCTGATTCTTTAAAGGTTGATCACTACTGTCAAGGGGGAAGCAATACAGTCACTGGCCAGCCCTTTGGGACTCTTAATTCTGTTTTTAAATGAGTAGCTTTGTAAACACTCCTCTCCTTTCTTCCTCATAAGTCAAGGCATTCAAAGGTCAGCATCATAACATTCTCTGATTTGTCCAAGTAGCTACTATTACAAAACTGGTTCAAAGTTCTGTATTTAACATGAAAATGCCTGACAAACATGTGATAGGAAAAAAACATAGGCATGCTAAGAACAAAAGCCACGGACATCCGCGAACAACCTCCTTTCCTTTCCCGTCTAAAAAGTGGAGACGTCTGGGTTAGGTCTTCCCCACACTGCATTACAACCACGAATGCCAACATTCTGTGAAACCCCGTCCTGCCTATTACATACATTTCCTGGGCCAATTCAAATGTTTTCCCTAGGGGTCCTTACTAACCTATAATCTCATGAAGTTACTTTGTATCTTGCATCCATGGTTTATGCTTGGGATTAAAACTTGCTCAGACGGAAAAACTAAACACAAAGAAGGCTCCTTTCTTGCCATTCCCATTCATCTCCCTGCAGCCCATCCACAACATCCCCAGGGAAAGACAAATGATCTTTTTCTTTTTTTATTTGATGTCTTAGGATTTCTATTGCTGTGAAGAGACACCATGATCACAGCAACTCTTATAAAGGAAGACATTTAACTGGGGCTGGTTTATAGTTCAGAGGTTCAGGGCATTATCATCATGGGGGTCCATGCTGGAGAAGCAGCTGAGAGTCCTACATCTTACGGGCAATAGACAGTGGACTGTGACACTGAGCGAACCTTAAGCAAAAGAGACCTCAAAGCCTGCCCCCACATTGATGCACTTCTGTCAGCAAGGCCACACCTACTTCAACAAAGCCACACCTCCCAACACTGCCACTCCCTAAAAGCTTATGGGGGCCAATTACATTCAAACTGCCACAGTAGGTAGGTCATGATGTAAGACAGTTTTAAACTATGATAAGCAAAGGGAGGCAGCACAAGTGCCCAGCAAGGAAATGTTCAGAAGTGACAGCTTCGTAAGGGAAGCCAGCATGGGCTACTATGTGGGATGGTTTGATAATGGTTCTAAGGGTTGTCAGCGTGGGCTGCTGTGTGGCATGGGTCTGACAATGGCTCTCTGTTTCTCTTCTTAGGGCTTTTGAAAGAAGATGACAGAGTCCCCAAAAATAGAACCCGGAAAAACAGTACAATAATCGAAACTTATTGACACCGGGAATCTAGTTCCCATTCTCGTCTTTAGATGATGCCATTGTCTTTCCCCTCATCATCCATGCAAAGAGAAAACATAAAAACTACCGGGCAGAAATTAAATTACACTAGTCTCTTGAATCGCTAATGTGGTTTTAACAACATAAAATTAATAAACAAGGGATGGAGAGGTTAAGAGCACTGGTTGCTCTTTCAGAGGACCTGGGTTCAGTTCCTAGCACTCACGTGGAGTTCACAGGTATCTGCAACTCCAGTTCCAGGGAATCTGATGCCCTCTTTTGGCCTCTAGGGCACGGCAGATACATGATTCACGGACATGAACGAAGGTAGACACACATATACATAAAGCAAAAGCAACTTAAAGAACAAAAAATAGATAATAACAAGCAGTGAAGAGGCATGCTTTAATTCAACATTCAATTTTTGGATGAGCAGTGTTGAAAAGACAGAAAATACCAGGGTCCAGCAAAGAAACCTCAGCTACAAGATCTGAGTCCTGTTGCGCACTCGACTACCTAACTCAATGTGGCAGCCCAGCCACAGGGCAGCTGAGGACAGGGTTCAGGTCGAGTTGGGGCCTGTGGTAAATGACTAGGAATGTTTCAAAGGCCAGGGAAAGGAAAAGCCAAACGACATATTAAAGTGTCTCCTTTAGACGCAGTACGCACTTAGAGCAAAAGGCTTTGGAAAGGCTATGAAGAGTCCACTTGGTGCCAGCGGTGGTTTTTTTTTCTTTTTTCTACATGAATGGTGACTACAAAAGTAATCCAAAACTCAGGCAAGCTTGCACTGGAAGAGGGGAGAAGAGGAACAGGAAGTGGCTTGCTTTATTCCTGCTAATAAGGAGCACACTGTGTCCTTTGGAGGGAGCCAGTTTCCCTGACACTGAGGTGCAGTAATAAAAACCGCTTCTTTTAGGTTCTCAATTCTGTTTACTTTTCTTCACCTCCCTTTATTGTCTTTAAACAGTATTTTGCTATGTAACCCATGATATGAACAAGGGAAAAGAAAGTCATCAGCATTGTAACATAAACATTTAAAAAAGTGATTTAGAATGGAATCAAAACCCTTGGGCCAGTTCTCAGAACTTTTCTCCTGGAATCGGATATCTTATGGGGGCAGCAGATGTTTAAGACAGTAGACTGCACAGGTGGAGGACGGCCCAACAGGCAGAGGCTAAGCTGCTAGTCCACAAGGCAGAGGGAGCAGACTGGCCGCCTTTGGCAGTCACAGTTGCACAGCTGTTCCAAATATGGCATCTTGGACTTCGGGAGACCCACAGAAGCAGGAAAAGACACTCTGACCTGCCCGAGCCCTTTGGCCCTGAGGCAGGGTCATGAAATCTAGGCAGACTACTACTTCTTCTCTAAGTAAGGAATATGCTCCACAAGCGTCTGCACCTGAAAGGTATCTATGTCCCTTCAACACAGGGGCATAGTGAGGGAGACAGATGGGAGACAGATGGCCTCGCTATTACTATTGGCTCGCACCCCATCCCGCCCAGTCCAATCAGAGCTCTCCATGACTACCTAATGCCTTATTAAACCTGGACAGGAAGCCATGGGTTTAGCATCTATACAATGTCTTTACCTTCTTATGAAGGTCCTTACATCCTGTAAAATGTATTTGAAATACCTTTACGTGCTTTTCCCTCACTAATCTACCTTTGCGATAGGGGCCTGAGTCATGAACCCAGTGGGGGTGAGAACATATGTCCCGTCCTGTAGTAGGGGTTTAGCAGTCCTTAGTCCTTGGTCCTGTGACCCCTGATCCCAGAAAAATACTCCAAGAAAAAGAATTGAGCAAAGACAACCCGTATTCATCAAACATTTCATTAGGACATACCTTAAAGCAAGAGGAAGTGAGGTAAACTTAGCTATATTCTCAACTGAAGAGAGATAAGGGGGTGATTAAACCGGTGTAAGTTTATCGACCAAGTAAAGCAGCCTCCATTTGCCACAAATGGAAATCTTGTATACTATGTAATATGCACTCCGTTAGAAACCACGGAGGCTGCAGGGCGGGGAGGATGCACTTAGCTACAAGTGGAGAACAACCGAACCTGTGCATTCAGCACATAGACGAGCACACAAAATCCCACACACGCATCCCATCTGAGGAGTGGCGGCTCACTGCTCCTGCAGTGGGATTCTCTGATGGACTCTTCTTCCCTCCAGCTCCCTCTGCTGCGATGGGCTTCCTGCCCACCAGGAGCGTCCATCTGCGGTTGGTGATCACACACATGCCCGTACTCGGGACCCTGCTGCAGCTCTGTCTCCCCCATTCCCCTTGTGCTCCAGACCCCACAGAGAAACTGCTCTGCCCTCCTTGCAATTTCCTTGCTTATTTTGTTTGCCTGTGAAGTCCCCAGAGATGTTTTCGGCATGTATAACGAGCAATAAATATATGATTTTTTGAACAAAGTAATCAGAGAATATAAATGCTCTTGAGAGCAGGGCCATTCTATTTTCTTTGAGTCTGAAATATAAATCATAGTGCTAGCAAACAGTAGGGTATTAATGACTCCTCATTAGACAAACAGATAAATGTATGTACGTGTGTATGTATGTATATACACATGCACGTATGTACACCATCAGACATGATGACTAGCCGAATGCAGCCCATACTGTCCTCCTTCTAGGAAGCAGTGATTAAGCCCTTTTTCCAGAAAGGATGGCACAAACTTACCCAAGTCAAACTGGCCAGAGATGTAACCACAAGTCTGCCGGACTTCCTCGCTGTCCCAGCCCAACGGGTAGAGGGCACAGCCAGAGCCAATCAACAAGCCTGTGGAGAGGTAAAACAAGAAGACTTTACAAATCAAAACTGAGAACATGACAGGCCACGGTGCCTGCCCTTTGAAAACATCGCGTTAAATTCCTCTAAGCAATCTCAAGTCAGTTAGATTCCAAAAACAATACCGAGTCTGCTTAAAATAATAGTGAAAATAGACACAACTCAATTTGTTTTCCAACTTTGCCTTTTAAATGCACTAAAAAACTTTGGAAATCCTGTTAAGGAAATAAAACCAAGACTCTCCTAATCCCACTCGCCAAAAGCCAACCAATTCCATTAATCCCATAGAGAACTCATTCCGGAGCAAGTGACGTTACTAAGTTATACTTCATAATTCATCAGAGTTTGTTTCCAATATAAGAACCAACACCAAAGGTTGCCCTGTTGTGAAATTTCAGCAGGAGCAGAAGAAACAACCCTGTCAGACCATCCCTTGAGCCTGTGAACTGTACTGTCTGCTCTTGCTATGCTGAGACTCACCCAGCATCCACACAGCTCAGGAATATTCTAGAAGGCAGATGCATGACCGTCTGAATCCTCTTCACATACTTGTAAAACCAAAGTGTCTGAGAATTAGACGGAAGAAAGTGGCTTCATTTTAATATAAATCCGCTATCTTGGCAGCAGACAGTGCTAACTGCTTTCCATGAGTCTTAAATTATGTATGGGTTTACAAGAACCTGAAAGGGATTGAAGCCCATGCCATTGGATTCTGTGAGCTAATCTGAAAGTAAGATATGGTCACACCAATCCGTGAGTACTATTACCACTCACGATGCAGATAAGCTGAGACAGCAGTACCGACCGATGCCACTGTGTGATGGGTGAGAATGTCAGTTATCAGCTACCACGTAAACAGCCCCTCATGGGAACACCCTTCAGTATAGTAACACGGATGAGAAATGCCCTAACAGGAGAGCTTTGTCACTGATATAGCAAATGCTTTCGGTACCTCTCCAGCCAGCCTTTGATCTGTTCTGCGCCCCAGAGAGTGGCAGTGAGGGGTAAAACCATATTTCTCTAACAGTCATCTGGGGCACAACGGGCCGTGCCCTCCCTAAACACTGTGCTAAGCTATGAAGAGAGTCCCCCAGTGAGATCCTCATCTCCTGCCCTGGTGCTCCTTCAAGTGATCAGAGGGTCTGATCTGAGAGTTCTGGATCCTCAGGATAAATCACTGACTGCAGTTTGATCTGTCTGCAGTGCAGAATTGGGAGTCAGGTTCTGGCTGGGACGCCATCCACAAAACAGTAAGGCAGGGTTTGCTGACCAGGCAAGTAAGTACCTACCGGTCAGCTTCCTCAGGCTTTTCCCATTGGGGAAGTTTTTTTCTGAGCTAGGTTTCCCCACCATTAGGTAAAAAGATGTTGACGATGTCAGAGTTTATGCAAATTTAATCCCATACATATTAATCTATGTAAGAGCATTACACGATACTTAGTTCTTAGTAGGTAACACCCGTTTTTGAGATTTTGTTAGTAATTTTTTTTGTTTTGTTTTTCGAGACAGGGTTTCTCTGTAGTTTTGGAGCTTGCCCTGGAACTAGCTCTTGTAGTGATTTTTAAAGGGTAACAAATACAGAAATGTTTAGGATAGAATTTGTTCAAGTGCCAAATTAAAACAAAAAGTGGTAATATGTAAGCCATCAACAGCTTTCCTGTCTAATTTGGAAAGAAATATTCTAATTTACTAATCATGAAGTCCCAAAAGTACATTCTTGGTCCGGTGGTACTCTCTAGCTGGGTTTGGGCCCTGAACAGGAAGGAGCTGACCCATGCTAAGTTACACAGGCAGGAAGGAGAGCAGCAATTCCCTACAGTACAAAACACTTGGGAATCCGTTCCTTTGCAAAATCCGGCGCTATCTTTGTGAAACCACGAAAAGCAGACTCAGCCATGTAAATTAACAACAATTTTATACACAGGAAACTCGCACTGAGTGTGTGTATTTTAGGTAAACTTCCTACCTCTAAGCTACCTTCCGGCCCTGAGTGGAACCCTTAGAAAGCAACTACAAACACAGGCTCACGTTTAAAAATCAGCTGTTTCGTGGAGTGGACGAGTTCACGTGAATTTCTCTATTAATCTTTACGGAGACTGTATGTTTGTCGTCTACTACTGTCTGTTCGCGGGAAGGACACTAAAGATTCTGAGAAACATTTCTAGAAGACAAGTATATGCACCTTTAGGGGGCTAACTGGTGGCCGCACGTTTTAGGATCTGCAGGCAAATACCAACGGTCAGTAAATGCTTTAGCGGGTGAGAACCAAGAACAGTCAGGAAATCAGTTCTGCTTCACAATGAAGGACCCTGGCGACTCCATCAAAGCCGTCACCTTATTAGTATCTCAACACATATCAGACACAGCGAGTATCACGACTGGAGACTCAGAAAACTCCAGGTCGTATCAGACAACGCTTATCTCCTATTCAGGGAAAATGTTATCGAATTTGGGGCCTGTGTCCCAAGCCAGGTCCAGCCACCTGTTCCCAACAAACCAATTAGAACAGCCAAATTAACTATGGAAAGAAGAAAAATAAGATTTATTCAGTGTGGTCACACTGGAAGAGAGAGAGATAGGGACGCGCTGCCATCTTAGACATCCCGAGGAAAGACTGAGGTTTAAACAGTGGGCCGTGGATGGATCATTTAAGGCGTATGATCAGGCGTGATGCTGCTCATTAACTCATCACTGTCTGGCTCCAGAGTCTTGTCCCACGCGGGGGTGTGACAAATTGTTAGAATTATGTGACATCTCTTTCTGGAAGCCGAGTTCCTCCTCTGGTACGGCCCTTTCCTCCTGCCAGCATCAGATTCCGAGGGGAAATTCTCATTTCTTTGGGGTCTGTTGTTTCCATAGCCTGATAGGTTGAGAGCCGCAAGTGCCTCTTTATCATATCTTTGCTTCTGCCACTCCCATTACAGACGGGTGGGGCGCCAAAGAGTTGCCATACTGCACAGTACAAATATTGACCATTTTCATAGCTTTGGAAAAAACTCCAGTGGAGAGTTCTGCTCTAAGGACAAACTTCAAGAGGGTGCCGGCTTTCCAGACTCATACCCAGGGCCTGGTATTCTTTTGCAATAATTAAAGTTCACGCCTGCTCTTCAGTCTTCTTTCTCAGGTAAGGGTGGGAACTCCAAGTCTAAAACCTGTTCTTTAAACTGTCCTGCTAGCCGGAGCTTTGTGTCACGGTCTGTCTGGGAGACACTTCTGTGTGGAACTCAGAAGATGAGACTGGAGTAACCTGGTATTTGCCACAAGTTTTTCTGTAGACGGCAGACTTGAGATCTGGGGAGGACCTTCCAGACATCCATCCCCTCCACATTACCTAGAGAAGGTGGTTGGACATCAGTTTCTTTTGATCCCTGGACTTCTGGTTTCTGTAATTCCTCAAGTCAGCTCCTCTGATCTTCACCTTCCCAGACCTTCCAGCAAGCCTGCAAAACTTCAAGTCTAGAGGCGTTCTACTGAAGGGACATAGTGCGGTCAAGTCCCGGGCTGGTCCCATGTGTCACTCATACAAGATAAGGGATATGAATTTTTTTTCTATTCTCTCATACTGCTCAAATATTACACCTTGAAACAGGTGTAAGCTAATTTTTAACACTCTGGGTGGTAAGGACAGATATATATATATATGTATGTATGTGGGTGTATCTACATACCTATATGTGTGTGTGTATGTGTATATATACACACATCAGAAGGGTTAGCCTTTAGCCATTTCTGTGACATCCTCTCAGGCTAAGGAATTTAACATGCTAATTAACCTCTCTAGAAGTATGGGTGTCTTGAGTGGGTGCCTCAGATGCCAACTCACTGCCCTTAAGGTGCGGATGGGAGTTAACAAGCATTTTATGATCTCCATTGAATGTACCGTATTGTAAAAGGAAAGTCATTAAATGCAAAAGTGAGAACATCTTTCTGAACGAAAGGACTTGCCCCCATCCTGTTGCAGCCCTGCCACTCCTCAGTCCGTGGTGTAGTACCATTTGGAAGACCATGACTTCCTCTCCACGTGGGCCTTATACTACACACTGCAGTGGAGGTCACAGGAGCTGAAGTATCCGCTTAAGTGGCGTCTCAGTGATCCAACAAGTCTGGACCATTCTGGCTGCTTACTCTGTTCATCAGGAATAAATGGCTCCAGAGACCCTCTAGCTTCAAACTTTAATATTATATATAGAGATTTTCTTTATTATATTTATAGACCTTGTTACCACCCAGGCTTCATTTTAATTAAGTTCCTTTGCCACTGCATCAAAAAAAAATCATGAAAAAGCCTCATGATCACACATTTTGAAGAAAACTGTGCAGTCAGGAGGGAAAGTGAGGAAGGGCGCTGGCTGGGGGCGGGGCAGCCTGAAGGATGTACTGATGGAGGTGAGATGCTGGGGAGGTGTGAGATCAGGCTCACTTGGGATTAAGGAAGAATCTATTTTTGCAGTCCGGGAGACTCTGTGATTTTTACGAGGTCACAAGTTAAGTCACAAATTGCCAATTAGAAGACTCTCTCCTTTCCACCTCTCCTCACCCCTGCAATCCGCTGTGGGGGGTCGGGGGTGAGGGCAACACATCACCAATAAGGGCATTTTTGTGGAATGAGGGGAGATGTTGTCTTCTAAAAAAGAATAAAAAAAGAAACTAGGTGACTCAGTAATCCTTCAATTTAACAAATTCATTTTAGTAATATGTTGGTGATTAGGCCTTCCATCCCGACTGCCTAGGGCTTGAGGCTCATTCTGCTCAAGAACAACGAAACTGCCTGAAGAGCCACGTCAGAGGGCTGATCTTTCTGAAGAAGCCAGTGTTCATGGGGAAAAGACCTCTGTCTGATAAATGCAAAGAGACAGACGCTCCCGAGCGGTGATGGGTAAAGTTAAAAGGAAGCCTACTGTCAGGGCTGGGGAGATGGCTCAGTGAGTGGCTAAATGCTCTTGTTGCTTTTGCAGAAGACCTGGTCTTAGTTCCCAGCACCTACATGGTGG